AGGCGGTCAACAAGCCAGTGATAGGGATTCGGGTCTGGCAGGAGGTCGTCTCACTAGTGGTGAGCTTCAGATTTTGTTCAATGGGAAAGTGAGTGGGACGGGCACCTTGTTGGCCACTATCAGATAGAATATCAAGATCATACTTTCGTTGGTTGAGAAGGATACCAATAGAGGAACAAGCCACTTCAAGACCATGGAAATATTTGAGAAGGCCTAGATCTTTAGTTTTGATGTGGCTAGAGAGGACAATCTTTTAATGATCAGTCTATAAAGGGTCAGTGCCTGCGATCAAAATGTCAACAACATAGACTGAAACCACAATAATGTCAACGGGAGTAACTACTGTCAAAAGAGAATGGTCCGCCGGAGATTGTGTTAAACCTGAAACCAATTTCAGGAGGCTTGTTTAAGTCTGTAGAGAGATTTTTGGAGATGACCAAACACAAATCTCCCCTTTGGCACAATATCCAGATGGAAGAGTCACGTAAACCTCCTCATCAAGGTCATCATGAAGAAAAGCATTGCGAACATCCATCTAATGAATTATCCATTGTCGGGAGGCAGGAATGACAAGGAGCCAACGGACAATGGCCATCTTTGCAATAGAGGTAAATATCTCGTGGTAGTTAAGTCTTTCAATCTGGGTGTAGCCCTTGGCCACTAATCAGGCCTTATAACGCTCAATTGAACCATCCGCCTTACGTTTGGTCTTGATCACCTATTTACATTCCGAAAGGAAGTGGCTCAAGTGTCCAGTGCAATTGTCTTCAAGTTCTTGGAGCTCAGAAGTCATAGCCTCACGCCAGTGAGAGGGTCTATTGGCATCGATGTAGTAAGTAGGGTTAGCAGTAATATTAAGAACAACTAGAAAGAAAAGGTGAGTGGATGAAAAAAAAGAGTGTGAAAAAAAAGAAGATAGGGGATGAATAGTACATGAGGACTGTATAGCAGATGAAGAGGCAGTGTGCCCCATTGGAAGGGTCGAGTAGATGTAATCGAGCAATTAAGACGGATGAGTGGTAGTACCAGGAGAACAACGAGGGAGGAAATGAGTATAAGAGATACGATGCGAAGTGAAAGAATGTGGTGCAAGATTAGGGGTGGGGTTGGAGAGCTCTGGAACAGGGAAAGAGAGGTTTCGGGCATGACTCGGAAGATGCAGACACTTCAGGCCAATCCTATTGGTTCCTCATTTACCTACGGTCAAGTAGCTGATTCTAAAGAGAAAGATCTGTATAATTCTGCTATATGTTTCATTCATTTGCAATGCCAACAAATAGATACAATGAGGTTGCTATATAAGTAAAATGGACTAAAATCTATGCTGATCTTGTGTAATTCTTCTATTCTAATAATAAAGATTTACAAGAAAACTTAAACAAAATCCTTGCTGATTTTGTGCGATTGTATTCTGTGTATGGGAATGTCAATAATAATTATTTTAAAATATAAAATTAAAATCTATTCAATTTCAAAATTAATAAAATTACCAATAAAGAATGTCATATGGTAGAAAAGTATGTATGGTGAGCCTGTCCCCTAACAACCCTTATCTCTCCTCTTACTTATGCGTTAGTGCATAAATTGAAGAAGCTGAAAAAAGAAGATATGTTGAGAGCTGAAAGCCAGTGAAAAGGTCGGTTGTTTTCGATGAATTCCCTGCTTTAGAATCAGCTACTCAACCTTAGGTAAATGAGGAACCAATAGGATTGGCCTAAAATGTCTGCATCTTCCAAGTCATTCTTGAACTGTTTTAATGATATATAACTAAAAAAGTTAAAAATACAATTTGAGAAACTAATGGCATGTTCTCTTTACCATTTTTAAATCGTTTTCTATTTTCAATTTTCTAAAATAGTAAAAACGCATTCTCTTTTCCATTTTCGAAAACGCGTTTTTGAAAACAAGTTAAAAATTTACAAAGAAAACCCAAAAATACAAATTGTCGTTTTAGGTGTTTTCAGTTATAATCAAATCAAAATTTTCAAAATAAGTTTTGGGTGTTTTCAAAACAATTTTTCAAAATGTCAAAAAGAACACATTTTCAATAATTTCAAAATAAACACTCAAAACACAAAATTCAAAGCACAAAACTCAAACACAAAGAGAACAACCCCTAAGTGTATGTTCATTTTGTTGTTTTCAGGCCAATTTCAATTTTTAGTTTTCGAAAATATTGAAAACACATTTACTTACCTATTTTCAGAAACGAATCTCTAAAAATGAATTTAAAATTTAAAGAAAACGAAAAGCACCAAAAAAGTTGTTTTGATTGCTTTCATTTAAAATCAAGTCAAAACTTCATTTTTTTTATTTTTGAAAATAATTTTTCAAAATGATAAAAAGAACGCGTTTTTAGATTTTGTTGTTTCTCAAAATCTGTTGCCGATGGTCCATACACCTAAAATAACTGTAGATTATTTGACAATCAAAAGATGAACTTTAAAACAAATTCTAAACGGGACGTTTATATCATTTCACCAAGGTTATCAATTCTAGACGGGGTCTTGGCATTGATCTCTGCCTCCTCTATTGATTGAAAGAATTTAGGCAAATGATGGGGATATCCAACCTTACCTTCAGAATTACAAAAATGAATGCAGAAGAAATTGAAAAAGACAGATACAACTTAAGAATACAATTCAATTACATGATGCGTAAAAAATAATCCAACAACTACTCGACCATTATAGTTTGATTAGTATATTCCATGGCCTTTTCAAACAAAATACCTGCCGTAGAAATAAAATCCAATTCAAGAAATAAAAAATCACGACATGTAGTATACAATAATTGAATAAAAGGGAACAATACAATATAAAATTTTGAATTTATATTTCTTCTTTAATATTGTTCAATACAATTTGATTAAACTTATCAAACATATTATAAATTTTAATCAAGTTGATGATTTGGGAATTAAAAATGGGGTTAAAATCGTGGTTTGTCATGGTACTCAAGGGTGTGCCCTACCTGGTAACTGACCCTTTTTAATTACAAATTGAGGAGTAAACTTTCATCTTCTTATATCGTCAGTCACTCTTCTCAATTCTATCAATACAAATTAAAAAGAGTGAAAATGATATTATTAAGTTGACGAGTAGTCAACTGTAAGACATAGTCGTCTGAACCATTTTTAGTAAAACAAAATGAAAATGCGATTTCCTCTACGAAGAGAATATCATGGTACATTTAATTGTTCATAAACACTTTAGAGTTAATGATAAATTAAGATGTAAGCTTCTCTATCTTTTTACAAAAATTAAAAAGGAAGAACAAAGAAATAGTTATTTTCTTTATTATATTATAAGTACTTAGTTTTTAACACGTGAATTTTATAAATCACCACTTTTTTGTTGGCTGTACACGTAGAATCTTGGAGCTACTACCTTTTGACAATACGGCCACAAACCTAATTGTTTTCATTTGTCTCGAATTAGGTTAACAGTGAAATGAAAGTGATTTATTTCACCTAAACTTTTGAGATGGGGACAGGATTCTATCCAAACTTAAAATTCGCCCGTTTACAAAAATAAATAGAGGGTAAATGAAAGCCACAGGAGGGAAATTTCAAGTCGCCTAAGCAGAGGAGTTTAGGGATGGCAACTGGACGGAAGGACGGGTCGGTCATACCCACCCCCATCCCATCGGGTATTTTTGTTATCTTGCCACATTCCCATACTCGTTTAAAGTGGGACAGGACGGAATAGAGGCGGGGTGGGGCGGGGCGGGACGGGACGGGGCCCCTGTCTCATTTATCGCCCCATTTATTTTTTTATTTTTATTTTTATTTATTTTATTTTTTGCTTTTATTTATTTTATGTCTTTACTTAGTAAATATTATTATTTTTTTTATAAATTTGTTAGAAATAATTTATGTTTTTTTAAAAAATATGACAAATCTATTATTTTTGTTTGATAAAAAACTTAAATTTAAAATTAACTTTAAACGGGATGAGTAGCGGAACAGTAATATGATTCCCCTACCCGCCGATGTACCCTCTTCGGAGCAATGACTCTCACACCATGCATCATCCCGTTTACCCGAATAGACTGATAATCCCCACCTCGTTCGAGACATGGATCCACAAATTTCGGATTGAACATATTTTTTACCATCCCTAGAAGAGTTCATTCCAGCTACCCACATTTTAATAAAGCATCAAGTCAGAAACTGCTCAACCGTCCAAAACACTAGTCTGAATTTCTTATTGAACTAGTTTATGTATGAACCTGTGAATTGCTGCTCAAACCAGTTGAGATTTGTTAAAGAAAATTAGAAATAAAATGTCACTCCATTCATATTTGTTTAGTTTACATAAAAACCCGGTTAAAGGACAGTCAAACCGGGAAAAGAACAGTTGAAGAGATCGAACCATAGCCATTGCATCAGTACTTTGACCAAATCTACGATTGAGTAAGGCCGGTGTAGACAAGACTTTTGAATAGTCAAAAGCTGCTTATAAAACTAATAAGCTGTTTTTGAATATATTCGAATAACTACGTAAAAGTTTTGAATAAAAAAGTTTTTAGATGAACCTAATATAAGTAACTTCATAAAAAAGTTCTTCTATGATAATCAAAAGCCGTACCAAACAAGTCCTTAGTAGCTAGCTAATCTTGTTTCCCTCACTTTTCGTCATCTTTTCCAACTCCCTGAAAATTATCATCATTTTCCTAATATAACCCCATCTAGAAAGTAATAAATTGAAAACATATTCAAGATACTCCTCTGACTGATATTTCATTACACTTCCAATTTTATATATGTACGTGGACGAATTGTTAATTAATTAATAGAAGAAACTAACCACCAAAATTTGACAATTGGTCTCAAAAAGTAATAAAAGGCGGGTTGTCATATTATCTGTTAAAAGTCAATAGCTTTGTGCTCCACTCTTCCTTCCCTATCCCTTTTTATAGTAGAAAACAAACCCCAAAACAGCTAACCATTTATCTTTAATTGGTTCGAATATCGGACTTTTAAAAAAAAAAAAACAATGGAGGTTTTGATTCCTGTTGATAACATGGATTTTGATTTCAACAGTGCAAGATCTTCACCATCTGTTAGTGCACCTTCTACTCCAAAGCGTTTTGGGGAATACTATTGCAGTGCTCCAACTAGTCCTTCCCATCTGTCGCAGTTTTATCGGGATTTCGACGAATTCAGGGTCACTAGCGGTGGTGGTAGTGGCGGTGGCGATGGTGGTGGTGTTCCATTTGACTTTGCTTTTGATGTCAGTGAGGAGTCGGAAACTGCCTCTCTTTCAGCTGAAGAGCTCTTTGATGGCGGCGTAATTAAGCCTCTGACACTAAAACAGCCGCATCGGCTGCAACTTCCTCCTGGAGCAAGAATTAATCAATTACCAACTCAGAAACTGGCTGGCATGAATCTCAAATCGCCAAGAGGTAAAAATATTTTCAAGGGTGTTTTTTCACCAAGAAACAAGAAAGAAACCAACGACCCTTTTGAAATTGCTGCTCGAAACACCACTAAAACGCAGCAACCGGAGCCGGAAAGAGGACGACAGAGATCGCCTAACTTCTCTTCATCATCAAGCCGAAGAGTTACACGATCACTTTCTCCACTCAGAGACTCCCAGTATCCCTGGGGAGAAGAGTTTCAGTTTTCGAATCGTGTGCAAGAAGAAAACATTAGTAATATTTCAGAAGTTTCCGTGCAACCTAGACAGCAACAAGATAACAACACGAAACATCTTTGTTCATCTTTGTCATCTTCATCCACGAAAAGTCAAAAGAAATGGAGATTTAAGGACTTTTTCTTGTTCCGAAGCGCATCCGAAGGGCGAGCAGCCGATAAAGATCCTTTGAAGAAATACACAGAAGTGCCCTTCAGGAGACATGAATATTTAAAGAATTCGAGCTTTCGAACAATTGATAGCCCGGGTTCGGGATCCGGCACCCGAAGAAGGGGTCCGGTTTCAGCTCATGAATTACATTATACAATAAATCGATCAGTTTCTGAAGATTTGAAGAAGAAAACATTTTTGCCTTACAAGCAGGGGATTCTTGGGCGGCTGTCATTCAATCCTGCTGTTCATGCTTTGGCCAATGGCTTTGGATTTTCTCGAAAATGAATACAATATAGAGTTGAATTATTTATTTTATTTGTATAGATAATCTGTTTATAATGTGTAGAATTCACATTTCAAAGGAATTGAATCTATAAATAATTAAGTTATTTTTTTCATAAATTATAAATGTATGTAATCGTAATGCACGTTGTTGATAGCTTATTAATTCACGCTCAATACTATACATTATGAGATGAGGTACGAGGAAATATTGTGTATACACACATTTTCCATTCTATATTATATGCGTGCATCGTATTCAAATAGTTTGGCTAAGTCGAGCATCACGAACTTCTACTGTATCGCTCTGCAAGTGTATCATACGTCAATCTACATCACGAAATAAAAATATGAAGAGATTTTTGTACATTTAGAGTGTTGGACGAGTTGAGTTCCGTATGATTTGTCAATTTTTTTCAAAATGTAGCACGTGAATATGTTATTCAAGAACTTTCCTAGATCTATAGGAAATAGAATACTCAAAATTAGGCCAAAGTTCAGCCACTCATTCTTAAAAATATCAATCAATTAGAGTTTTTAATTAGAAAAAAAAATGGAGATTTTAGGGTTGTATGGTATTTGAAACTCACAATAACATTAATGAGATTAGAATTTAAAAGGAAATTGGGAAATTTTAAGAGTATATACTATTCGAAATACTAAAATTGTAATAAAAATAACAAGTTTATATGACAATTAAACTTTCAATAAAATGGTGAATAAAATGAGAAAACAACACAAAGTTTAGCATGAAAATAGAAATTAGAAAGAAAAAGTGAATAAGATTATTATACCCTTCTCGTACATGGCGTAAAAGTTTGAACATAAGACACATGAGAATGCAAATTCCAATTAACTATCTGTTCGAGGAACATATAACGATGTTCACTCGACCAGTCAAACCGCACCACAAAAAAATGCAGTTATAGAGACGGAAGTCGATAACAATAATTCGTTGTTATTTTGTTGTTAATCTGACGATAATAACTCGACCAACTTTTGTTGTTACTAAAATTTTGTTTCTTCTATCTCCCTTTAGAAAAAGGTGACAACAAAGTCAAGAGACATGAGCTCTAAAATGGTCTAAAAAATACCATCCCTTGCAAAGACAACGTCAATTTGTTTTGATAAGACAAATTCACACAATTGACATTTCAAAGGATTTTTACTTGAATAAAGATGGCCATCATTAATGCATCATAATGTTATAGGAGGAATAATCAATCACCATATACTTTCATATTCAATAGTCTTCTCGTCTAACCTATTAATTGCTCTTGGCCAGAATTATGGTCTTTTATGTCCCACAAAACTCTATCTTATTGTCGGTATCTTTCATTCTTGGTCACTGAACTTTCAACAAAATATCAAAAATTTCACTAAATTTTAATTTATCCCAATTGGATTGCTAGAGTTCAATATAGTTTTAAATTTCACTGCCCTGTCAAAATATGTCATATATCATCCCCAAAATAACTAAATCATTAAGCAATCATACTGCAAGCAATATTCCGTGTATACGTACCCTAGAAATGAAAATAATAACCCAAGGCTTAGAGTAATGTCATTAGATTAAAATGTTAAAATATGCTTGCGGTGGTAATTTGGCATGTCACGCAGTGATTACGCTGAAGATCTGTTATAGTGTGGCTATAAATTTATTAATTTTCATTAATATGGGAGATAGCAAATAAGAAAGCGGTAAATTTTGAAACTAGATTGAAGTTTAGTATCTCAATGTGAAAGAAGTTTAGTGACCAATTTAAATAAAATAAAATTTAGGGACCTTATTGAAGTTTTTCTGAAAGTAAGTGACCACAAATGAAATTTACCGTTTTATGGCTAACTTTAGATCAAAAAATTCGGCTTATAGTTGCAAAAGTATGTAGTCACTGCAATTAGAAATATAATTAATTGAAATAAAATAAAATATTATTATATAATTTTTGTTTTAGTTGTACTCTCTCTCTCTCTATCTCTCTCTCTCTCTGATCCAGAAGCCAGTGTGAAGGGCAGAATATATTGCAATAGATTTATTAGACGTCAAAGACAAAATTCTAGTCTTCTAGAGAGAGAGATTACAAAATTACAAAATTGTTTCTCTAAAAGATGTTTTTAAAGGCAAAATTTAAAAGAAAAAGAAAATTAAGAAGGATAAATCTGCCCAAGACCGACACACAATATCGACGTATTCCATAGCCAGCCAGCCTGTCTACAACTTAATTTATTAGACATTCTGGGCATATTTCGTAATGTGATTCGGTCTAAATTGAAGTTGGATGAATGAGATTGGTTCGATCTGACCCATATATTTTGACGTATCGAAATGGTGGTCAAATTCATCCTCTTAATAATCAAAATCAGTTTCGTATGTCATAATTCTTTGAAAAAATAAAATGAAAACATTACCAAGTCCTTGTTTGAGTCTCATTTTTCTATCAAAATGTATTCTTGAATAGTGTTTTGACCTCATTTCAATAATTTTTCTTATTTTTTAACTGTACATTATCCATCATAACACTATTGTTTTCATCATATTCTTATTTTTATCATTTTATTAATCAAAAAATCTTGTCATTATTCATGGTTTTCGTTCAAAAATATTGTAACGTGCTTTAAAATGAGTGTTAAATATTTAATTTCATTTTTGCTGTACCATTCATTTTTGCTTATTCAAAACTATAATGAGCAAACGAGGCTTTTTACTTTATGTTAAAAGAAAATTTCAGAGAGAAATTAAAATCATGAACAATTTATGTTAATCTGAGAATAAGAGAAAAAAGTTTGAAATATAAATGCGGTAATGTGTAAAGATTATGAATCAATTAAAAAATAATTAATAATTGCCTAATGAATATATTTAGCCTTGGATTTATTGTCATCAATGACAGTTTTAGAGAGAGGGAGATTCTAAATTACATAATTATTTATAACTAATCTGTTCTGTTAGTCCAACATCAGATTGAGAAAAATTGGAACTAATTTTTTAATTGTCAACTTCTAGAAGAGCCTCGCAATTTTCTTGCTATAAACAAAAAACAAAAAAAAGGAAAAAAAGGGAAAGAATCTGTTTTCCTCATTTGCCTATCTTTGCGGAGGAAGAGGCTGCGGAGATTGGCATTAGAAAAGTATTTAATTTTAAAATAATAAAATTTTATTAGTCAAATTCGAAATCAATTTCTATTTTATATCAATACAAGAAATTTATACTTTCCTTCCACAAATTCCATTGGCAAATTAAGATTTGTAGGCGAAATTCGCTTTCCCCCGCAAAAAAGACGTTTCGTAGGACTATGATTTGCTTCAAACATTTCAAATTAGAATGACTTGTATCCACAAAAATTTGTATTTTCTCCTGACGGCAAGATATATCTTTTGCCAACAAAAAATTTATACATATTTGTAGGCTAATAATTAACAAGAAAGTTTTTCGATTATAATATTTAATCTTAGTCCCTACAAATTAAGCTAAAAGATAATAAAAAGGAAAAGGAGAAAAGTGTTGTAAATTATAAGTTTATTAGTGAATGACAATTGTATACATGCAGTTCTAGACATTATTATCATCGTATCATTAATCATGCCTTATATA